GGCTAGGATTATACTCTCCGCGGTAACAGAGATTCCTGTCTGGCTCCATGCTCTTGTTTCTGGAACATTCTTAAAGAATAAATTCAACAGTGGGAGTGTCAGGATGGGCAAGGAAGACGTGACAAACATCCATCGCACCAGGTGCCTGGGTCTGGTCCAGCGAGCAGCTGTCAGCAGCTTCCGCCCAAAGGCTGTGGTTCTGCCTGGAAGGCCGGCCTCAGGGTGGCCACTCAGGGCCTTCCCAACCTGCTCCACGGAGGGGCCACCAACCCCGCCCACGGGGACAGCCGGGCACGTTTAATATTAGCCATGACTCGCTGGGGCTTTTCTCTCCAGTGATAACACTGGGAAATGAAGGAATCAGCTAAGACATTTTAACAGACTGTGTGGTTGCCAAATTAAAGGTCACGGGGTCAGGAGGCGCGAGCGGTCATCCTCAGCGGCCAGCAGGACCCTGCTCGGGAGCAGCCCAACCCGGCTGCCCCCATCTCTGGGTGCCGGCCGGCCAGCCCGCTGTTTCCTTTCCCTTCTGCAAACCTTCACCCTCCGTCCCCATGGTTCCGCTTTCACAGTCTGTTTCTGAAGGGAGTGCAGACCTTCTGTTTCTATTTCATTTTAAGAACGTTTGTGCTAATCACTTTTCTAACAAGATATAAGTAAGACAGGACAAGCAGTAAGATTCCAGAACCTTAAAGTTGGTTATGGCCAAGATCCCTGGTCCAGGGCGTGTCTCTCTTTCTGAAAAGCAGTGGCCAACGGATCTGAGTCTAGCCTGCATTTCACATCACCACTCAGGAAATTTGCACTGAGGGTTTAATGGGGCCCCCTGTCCACAGCGTGAGGACAAGAGAAGGCAACTGTGAACCAGGAGGACAGGCCTCCCCAGAAGCCACAGAGCTGGCCCCCTGATCACGGACCTCCAGAGCTGTGAGAAACACGTTTCTGTTGTTTGAGCCATCTGGTCTGCAGTACTTTTGACGGTAGCCCAAGTGGACCCAGACTCTTACGTCCAATTTTAAGCAGATTTGCCTTCTTCACAGATGGATCCGGCAGCGTGGTGGGAGGTGGAGGGGCGGGGAGAAGAGGCAGCAGAGAGAACAGAACAGTTGGGCTCTGGTCCCGCTTTTAGGCCAGGCTGAGGGCACCATCAGAGTGGACCCTCCTCCCCGCGCTCAGAAGAGTCCCGCCGCCATCTACCAAGTGTGTGGACCCCTCTGTGCATTTCTCACAGGAGCTTCCTTCCACTGAGTGCTGCCCACGTGAGCAATTCCTCACCACACGATCCTTTTTTGGAAAACACAATGCCAATCATAAAGGCAGGCTTGAGTTGGGTTTTGTTTCTAATACATATATTGAGTTTTGAATCTTTCTCTTTTCCATCATGTATTTGAATCATATCTTCAAATACCCAAGTTTGCTTATGTTAAAGAAAAAAATTATTTCACGCTGTTAAAGAAGACATTATTCAGAGACACTTGTTAAAGCATGGAAAGGCGGACTTGATCCAAGAGGGGGCCTCATATGGGTGGAGGGACCCCTGCAGTGGGACTGGTGAGACCTTGTTTTTTTCTTGCAGTAGAGGAAAGAGCTCAGACTGAACTCTGAATGCCACACGGGCAAGCGGGAACTCACAGCCAAGGAGCAGGGTGGGTGTCGGTGGATGGAGAGTTACTAAGAGGAGCCATCAGGGTCAATTAACATCCAGGGTTCTGGCTAAACCGACCTAAGAGGACTCTGGCTGAAGGCAAGCCAGGGTGAGCGGTCATCTGGGGGGGGGTGTGGGAGGGCGAAGAACCCAATTAGATTTGGAGGGTTAGCAGAGATGGGGGCCAGGGGATTCTAGCCAAACCAACTTGGCAGGATTCTTGCTAGAATTGGACAATGCTGAGATGAAGACTCAAGTCCAAAAGTTGAGGCCTCATTGAAACTCAGGGGATCCTGAGTAGAGTTCGGTCAAGGAGAGAATCTTTGTCATTTATTTATGGTTGCTTTATCAAATAAGAAACAAAGGATGTGAGTCATGAAGGCACTCTTTCTCCCTAGAGCTCTTTAAAAACAACAGTCCTAAAGAAAATCTGTAATTAGTAATAATTATAAGAGTTGGGCAAAACCTGGGACCAAGCAATTGGACTGTTGACTGTAGCAGTACTCCCTAGACTGCCCTTTATCATTCTCATACCCACAGTTACCATGCAGCATATTTTAGAGGTCCATCATCATATTAATCTATTTCTAGATAGCTCCTTCAATATGTATATGGTCCGAGTAGCCCTGAGAAACTGGAAAGTCATCTTAGCTGAGGAAGGATGAACCCTAAGCACCCTATCACTGTAACCTGCTTTGTTTTCTGAGACCTTAGGGCTCTTTATGCAAAATAAATCTCAAGGTTAAAAAAAGTCTAACTGTGGGTTGGAAACTGGTCTGGATATTATTCTAAGCTCTGCCACAGGCAGGCAGCTTGTCCCTGAGCAAGTTCCTTGGCCTATGTCTGCCTCGGCTTCATCATTCGCAGAAGGTAGGGTAAGGAATATTACTCCCCTCTCATTATTATGGATGACAAGGTGTGCTTATGTCCTTCTGCAAAATGGGCTGCCTCTTTCCTAGGAAGGGTGGAAGTCATCGCCCAGGTATATATCTTTTTTTTTAATTTTTTAAATTTTATTTATTATTTTATTATTTGAAAAAAATTTTTTTTGGCTGCTTTGGGTCTTCGTTGCTGTGCGCGGGCTTTCTCTGTAGTTTTGGCGAGCAGGGGCTACGCTTCGTTGCAGTGTGTGGGCTTCTCATTGCGGTGCCTTCTCCTTGCCAAGCGTGGGCTCTAGGTGCGCGGGCTTCAGTAGTTGCAGCACGTGGGCTCAGTATTTGCGGCGCACGGGCTCTAGGGTGCACAGGCTCCAGTAATTGTGGTGCAGGGGCTTAGTTGCTCTGCGGCATGTGGGATCTTCCCCGACCAGGGCTCGGGCCCGTGTCCCCCGCATTGGCAGGCGGATTCTTAACCACTGCGCCACCAGGGAAGTCCCAGGTATACCTCTTAAAGAGATAATTAGATTAAAAGCATCATGGTGTTTACAAAGAAAAATAATTGAATTCTGGAGTGGACCAAGCTCGAAATGGGTTTATAGCATACTTCTACCTTTTTGGTCCAAACAAAAAAGTATTGCTCGAATTACTGAAATTTCCTTTCTTGCCTCATCTAACTGATGGGAGACAGATTCTAAGTCTTGTTCACACTTCCCATCCATGAGTACTTGCTCATTAAGGTGAGATACCCGCTACGTTTTCTCCTTTGCTGTGTCTGGAGCATTTCCCAGTGTTTCATCCACTATTGTACTCAACCCACGTTTGTTGTGTGATGAGTAGATGACCGTGTTGCATATTTATACCATAAATTAACAATTTCCGTTTGCTAGGCGTTAGGTTTCTAATTTCTTGTTTTATTAACTAATGCTGCAATGTGCTACCGTATGCATCAATATCTTCCCAGACATCTGGTTACCTACTTAAAGCTGAATTACAGTGATTTAGAATTTTGCAGAAGAAAAAAGGAAAGCAGTATATACAAGGAAAACGAATATATACAAGTGAAACAGACCATAAGGTTACAAAAGTACTGTAAGGAAATAGCCATAAACGTTAATAGTGGTTATCCCTTGACAGTGAAATTACTGATAATCAGAAAAGAATACCTTAAAAAAAAAATCTGTGATCCTCAATCATTGAAAGAGAATTTAGTATTTCCTTGCATTATGCCATGTTTCTCAGTGCTTTTGCCATGGGTTCTCGAAAACATGCAGCCCACCTCGCCCGACAAGCAGGACAGAAAGCGCGGGAACTGCCCTCAGGTCCCCGCAGACGCCCCGCCTGATTAATTGAGCGAATTAGAGCTGCGCAGCCAAAACCTCAGAGGGCCGGGCCCAAACCCCAAACCTGCGCCTCCCGGAGCTTTTTATCAAGGGGGGTCCGGACACTGTCGGGCCTGGGGTCTGGACAGGAGACGCGGCGCAGAGCCCACGCCGCCTGCAGGGCACCGGGAACGGCCTGGCACAGTCCCCTGCCCTACACCCCGCCTTACCCCGCCCCCTGCTCCTGGCCCGGCCCCCCGCCCCTCCCCGCCGCTCCAGGAGTAGGCCCCGCCCCACGGCCCCCGGTCTCCGCCCCCGACGGCCCAGGCCCCGCCTCCTGTCCCGGCGTGTCCCGGCGTCTCCCGGCGCCAGCCCCACTCCTGGCGCCGCAGGCTCCGCCCCGCCCCGCCCCTGTGCGCGCTCTGCTCGGCAGCCGGCGGGACGCGGCGGCGGTGCTGCCCTCGCTCCTTTGTGCTCGGACGGCGGCGGCGGCCTCTCGGGTCCTGACTGGCGCGTCTTCTCTGCTCGCCAGCCCGCGCTCTCCGGTGACGGACCATGTCGGCGGCGGGAGCGGGCGCGGGCGTGGAGGCGGGCTTCTCCAGCGAGGAGCTGCTGTCGCTCCGCTTCCCGCTGCACCGCGCCTGCCGCGACGGGGACCTGGCCGCGCTCTGCTCGCTGCTGCAGCACACGCCACGCGCCCACCTGGCCGCCGAGGACTCCTTCTACGGCTGGACGCCCGTGCACTGGGCCGCGCACTTCGGCAAGGTGGGCGCGGGCGCTTTAAGGCGCCATCTTCCGCGGCTTTGCCCCGGGGTGTCGGAGGAGGCGGGGGCCGAGGCGTGGGGGGCGCGGGGCGTGTCGGGAACGCGGGGCGCCAGCTGGGTCGGCCGCCCAGGCGCCCCGAGGGGCCGGGGCGCATGTGCGGCGGCGCGGACGGTCTGGGCCCAGAGGGGCGCGCGGGGAGTGCCGGGAGCGCGGGCGGAAGAGGGCCCGGCGGCGGCGGCGGCGCCCGGAGGGGCCCGGGGCGCATGTGCGGCGGCGTAAGCTTCGAACGCCGGCGGCTTCCCGGAGGCGCCGCCCGGGCGGGTGAGGGCTCCTCGCCGCCGGCGGTGCTGAGGGCCGGGCCTCCCGCGGCGGCCGGCTCGGGTCGAGGTGCGGAGACGCGGTCCGCGGGGCGGCGCGCGAGAGTCCGGAACCTCTCTGAGGAAAACCTCTGTGAGGAAGGCCGCGGGGCCTCCTGACGCCCCTCCGACGGGGACGCCCGGGCGGGAGACCGCCGCGGCCCGAAGGTCGCGTTGGAGGGTTTCCGTGGTCAGCCCGTCGGCGCCCCCCGACGGCTGGGTCGGGGCAAGGTGACGCTCGGACCGAGTTGCTGGGGGCTTCCGTGTGGAATGTCGTCCGTGCGCTGGGGACTCGGCTCGCCCGGCTTAGGCAAACCTGTGGTGTTTGAAGTGTCACGAGATTGGAAGGGCAGCGTGCTGCTCTGAATTGTGGAGAGCTGCGGCAGCGTTTTCCTCGTCCGTGCGGTAAAGGGGGTTATTCGCTGGGAGCGGTGGCCGCAGAGGGAGGTGCACGGTGCTGTTGTCCAGGGTGGCTTTCGTGACGAAGACGTGGAGACCCCCGTTCGGGGCCTTCGGAAGACGTTTTCGCCCTGACAGGATGGGGTTGGGTTGAAGTCAGGAAACGCTTTTGCGGAGACACAGGCAGGATGATGGTGAAACGTGTTCCCGTCTTGGGGTGAAAAGGTTGTGTTGTGGTTAGCTACCTTTCTGCACCTGACGCGGCCGCTTCGCTTTGCTCGAGGTGCGGCGACGCAGGGGCTGAGCGCGCTCGCAAAGTGAAGCCAGGTTTACGTTAGCGAAGGGAGTGAGAGGGAGTCGTGACGGCAGCGGTGAGAGGCCGGCCGCCTGCGCCCTCGGCCGGGGCTGGGCGACAGCCCGCGGCGCCCGCAGCGCTGCTCCCCTCGGGCACCCGGCGCCGAGAGCGAGCGCCCTCCTTGCCGCCCTTCGCCCTCTGCCCTTGAACGCAGGCTTCCCCAGGCCGAGGGGTGGTCTCCCCGCCGAGGGCGCCTTGTGCACTTTTACAGTAAGCTGCAGGTAACGCTCAAAGCGTTGCTTCCCGGCATCGCTTGTGCCTTTGTGTCTTGGGGACAGGCGCCCTCGTAAGAGGCAGAGGCACGGCTTTCTGGGAGACGGCTCCCCTCGGGATTCCGATCCTCCCAACCCTGGTTGAGAAGGACGCCCAGTAGGACCATCCGCTACGTCCTGTGAAATGCGTCGGCCTCGTGACAAGTGGTTACTTAGACTGTCTCCCAGTCCGAGGCTGCTTCGGGCATCTCCGGGGATTAACAGTAGCCGAGAGCGCTTAGAGCGGTCGATTCACGCCTGTGTATTTTACGGTAAGAACTCACGGAGTCTCTGCTTCCGTAGAAGGCGAGCGGTAGGTGAACCCCGGAGACCAGAAGCTGCAACCAGAGGCATTTACTTCAGGGTGTTCAGTTGTCGTTAACCACAGTGAGCGGAGAGTCTTGGATACAGAAGGGGCCGCAGAAAGTGTCGTTCGGTCTGTGCGAAAAGGCTGTTCGGGCCGCACTCCTGAGCGAAGGCTCCGGGTCCTGTGCCCCTGCGCCCTGCCCACAGCTTCCCTCCGCTTGTGGGCCTGGACGCGCTCGCTCTGCTCAGCCTGGGCGACAGCCAGCCGAGCGAGCGTTCCGCGCGCTGTGAACCCCTCCCAGCCCTCAGGCCGCGTTCCTAGCGACGTGCCAGCTCTGCACGAGGGTCCTCACCTCCTTATGAGGCTTGCTCGCTCCCGGAGGACTGAACGTTATTCAGGAACCCTGATCACGCCTTGCCTTTACAAGCTGTCGCGCTGAACGGTATCTGTACAGAATTCCAAACCGGGTTTTCCACATCCAACCCACAGGTAACAAATTTTAAGTCCAGGGAGCTCTCGGTTGATGTTAAGACTAACCGCTTCTGGCGTACCAAGCGATTTTCACCCGTGTTTCATTTTTGTTGAGCTTGAGACCTGCTCATCTTATCACTAGGATTGGCCGTCATTTTTCGCTCAGTACGTTGATAAAGGCGATAGATAAAAATATACCAAAGTGGTACCTCTTTATCAGCCATTACCCTCAGATTCAGACTCTGGAGGACAGGTCATGTTCTAAAAATCAGTGTACCACCAGCTGTGAGCGTTCATCTCACAAAAACGTTGATGGCAGTGCCCTGTCCTTTACAGGGAAAGGCTTAACTTGCTGAAAGAGGATAAGAGACACGGGGTGAGACCCGACTGTAGCTGCTCTTCGCTTGAGGCCTGTTCTCAGGAGGAGAACTGTTGGCAGTGAGAGCTTTTTCGCCAGCTGCATCGTGCTTTGGGAGGGAAACGGGACCCTGAGGACATGCTGGGCGGAGCAGTGTAAACCTTTGAGGACGGCAGGCCTTCTCCCGCCGTGCTTGGCACACGGGAGGCACTTGCTAAATATTTGTTGAGTGTGCTGGTTCTTCTTCCAGAAGCTAGTACGGTACCGATGCCTGGCTGCAAAGTCCTGTCCTGACCCCTGTGCCTTTTTGTTTTAGCCACCTGCCAGGGGCAGAGCTCACCTGTGCTCTAGGCCTTTCTGTCTTTGATTGGGGGGGGGGGCGGTCTGTACAAACAGTATGAAAAGCCGAAGCGCTGCCCTCTCCCTGGCTCCACACATCTTTTCCCTAAGGAGCTGATCTGGAGCTGGGCCTCAATCGAGTATTCAGCCAGTGCGGCCAGTGCAGGCTGCAGAAAATTGTCTTTGACCGTGAAGGGTTTACCGACCAATCACTTTAACAGTTTTCTTCTTTAGAATAGAGCGTGCAAGTGGCAAAGCTCAGTTCTGACAAAAGTCTGTGAATATGCAATCTAGTCTTTTCTGACTTTGGCTTTTTTAAACACTGAGGTATAGTGGATTTACAGTATTATATTGATTTGGGCTTTTTCAGTTGTAGGAAAAACAAAATATTTAAACTTGTGTAGTGTCAGTTGTTTCGACTTTCTATTCCTGTGTACCAACTTTGTTTTACAAGGACGAGGGAAAATGTTCTTTTAAATAGGCCTTTTAAAATTTGTATGATACTGGGAAGGAATGACTTAACTTTGTTTTCTTAAACAGAAAAAAAGTGTATGCCACTCACCTCCATTACAGAACTGAGATTACCTGTGTAGCGTTTAACAGTGTACTGACGTGCACGCCTGTCTCGTCCCCTCCTGCTGTTCTCCAAGCTGGAGTGCTTGATGCACTTAGTGAGAGCCGGAGCCACGCTGGACGTCTCCACCACCCGTTACGCACAGACCCCAGCCCACATCGCCGCTTTTGGGGGACATCCTCAGTGCCTCGTCTGGTTGATCCAAGCGGGAGCCAGCATTAACAAACCGGTAAGGGAGTGCCCATGATTGACGTGCTTGGTTTTTGTTTTCTTCTTCCAGTTCTAATTACATGGTGTGGAGTATTAAATTCAGGCGTTAATTAGAGTTTGACATCTTTACCTGTGGGCTAACTGGAACTTACGTTCGTGAAGTTATTTGTGGATAATTGGCCCGTCACATAGCAATGCCTTGTGTTCAGAGTGCTTTCGCCTGTATGTGACTTACTGTGCCCCACAGTGAGTTGCCCAAGGTCACAGCTGGTGAGTGAAGGAGCCTGGCCTTGAGCCTCGGTTTCCTGGCTCCTCTGCTCACAGCTGCCTTAGCTCCGTTTCCACAGATAATTGTGAGAACACATCTGTTCCAGCACGAGAATGGCAGTTAAGTCATCTGCAGTCATCTGTGTGGTTGTGGTTCAGGTAGCGTGAGCAGGTTGAGCAGCACGAGTTGTCTTCAGGTACGGGCTGGGGATGATGGTCAGACGCAGAGAAGTAGCCAGGTGTCCTGTAGGAAGTGACTCCTGGACACCAGATTGAGGAAGGGTGTTTTAGCAGTGGTTTAAAACAAGGGTCAGTGAGAAAGGGGGGGGGGTGAGGGATAAGGGGGCAGTTTGTTCTCTTTAAGAGACTGGGTGGGAAGGGCGCGCGAGGAGAACCCTGGATTTTAGGCCTGTTTCTGTCACTAAGCTGCAAGCTGGATGTGGGACAGCTCTTTGGGTCACCTGCCACCCTCCACTCTTCATTCTTTCACGCATGCTCCTCTACTGCTTTGTTGCTTTGGTCCGTGAATTCAGGAGTTACAAGTGGGCGACTCTGTACCATTGTGGTGCTAGGCGTCGCCTGTCCCCACTAGGCTCCTTCCTGCTCGTGGATTCTCCCCCCACCCCCTTTTCTCCTGGTAGAAGGGGCACGCCCTGCTTCCTCATCTCTCTGGCCTTGGACAAGTGGTTTACTGGTTGTAACTCAATCTCCCTGTCAGTAAAATACGGATAGCCCATGAGTAGCAGTAATTAATATTTAGCATTCATGTGGAGTTTTAAGTATAAATTTTCTATACGATGATTTTCATTAAATTGTTACATAACACTTAGAGAGATCTAAAGAAATTGTGTAACGCTGCTTTTCAAATCTTTTTAAACCCAGAAGCCCCCTTTTCATGTAATGATTTATAGCGGCTCAGTATTTTCCACAGGTAAAAGGTTTGACACTCTCCTCCTTCCCCCAGCTGCTCTAGACAGCACCACGTGGAAATCCCTCCTCAACTCTGCTCCCAGGGCAAGAGTCCCCAGATCCCACTCTCCTTACAGCTCTCCTCTTGTGTTTAAACAGCCCACCTGGCTCAGCATCCCCACGTCCTCTCACGTACGAGGGTATCGCTTGGGTTTCTTAAGTGTCTTGGCACTGCTCCCGGAAGGGCCTTGGTTAGCTGTGGTCTCGTCCGAGTCTCGGCTGTCGGTTTGGACTGCTGCGACAGGCACTCACTGACCCTGAGGCCCCAGTAGGCTTTCTGTTGGCTCATCTCAAGGTAGACAGTTTTTCTCATTTCCCACATAAACTTATGCAACTAGATGCAGGTTTTTCTTATTCTTTGCGTGCCTATAATTTTTTGAACCTTAGCATACCTTTTTTTCTTTTGGCATGTTAGTTTCTTACCATTCTAAGTTCCTTTTCCTCAAGTTTAATAGAGACTTTCTGTGCCATATCTAAGGTGGGCATGAGGGGTTACTGAAGCTCAGATGTGCTGTCTGGAGGCTCGGTGTTCGAAGTTTACCCAGAGAGGAAGTGAAGTTAGATCTTAAGTGGTGGCTGCCCGTGGCTGTCGCTTCTTGTAAGTCATCATCTCTTTAGTGACCCTTCTAGAATGGGGCTGGCATTTGGTATTGCCTTTAGTTCCTTGTAACTAGATTAGAAGTAAGATTGTTTTAATTAAAATTCAAGGTGACTTGTCCGTTTTCAGATCTCTGGCACCTCTCCCACTGTCCTTTATGACTCAGAGTTTGCCAGCAATAGTTCTAGAATCATATTACAGACTATTTGGTATTTTTGAAATATGACTGGTCTGAACTTGAGCTGTGAGTAACCTTAAAATGGCTCTTTGCTCTCATTCTCTTGGTTGCAGTTTTCTTTAAATAGTGTTTATTCTGCCCTTCCCAGCTTAAGTAGGCTCCTCGTATAACACACAACAGGAGCAGGGTAGCTTCGCTTTTTTCTCTGGCATCTACTGCTGTCCCACCCTGTTCTCGAAATAGTATAGAAAACATTTTTCTTCTGGTACCAAAGATAGCTTTTAAAATCCTTTTTGGTTTTCTTGAGTTTTTGTGGTGTTTGTCAAAATCTCACCTAAATCTTAGTTCTACTTTTCCTGGCAAAACGTGTACGTAATTTTTATTTGTCCTTATTATGTACCTCCTCTCTCCCTTCCTTCCTCTTTTCAGACAATAGGGTAGGTTTTCCTTTTGTTTTTTAAGTCTGATTTCACTAGATAGTTCCCTGTATAGCCTCATGATTTTGTTTCTTTCTTCAAAATTGGGACTATTCTGTTTGGAACTTTACGTCACTTTTGAGCTTATACATAACTTTTCCCTCCAGTAAGTGGTTGAGTCTCTCATATTATATTTTTCTGTGAAATGCTCTACCACTCCTTTCTGGTTTAGTCCTCACCTCAGTTTTCCCCCCGTGAGTTAATATTTCCAAGTGCCATGCACTGTGCACCATTGCCCCACTCCTGCTTTATGTCTTTATCCCTTAATTATGTGTAGTTTTCTCCTGCCAAGTTCGCATTCAGTGGTGATGGGATGTGAGTGATTCAGGAACTGTTGCTGCTTAGTCAGTTGGCATTTCTGAGGCAGAAAGTCCTAAATCAGTTTTTCTAATGGAAACAACTTCCTTCTGTTAATCGCTGTATCTTTCTTTACCTTTGTCTTTTTACCTGAGAGCCTATGAAGGAAATTGTGTTTCACATTTTTTTTTGGTCCATTCATACAGTGTAAAGTAATTCTTTTTTTTTTTTTTTTTTTCTGATTCCTGTATGAGTCTTCAGAGTCATTTCCCCGAGTCTGCTCATTTCCTATGCCTCCTTCAACATTGTTTCCTGAAGGGTCAGTCAGGTTCTGATGCATCCTTTCCAAAAGTCCTTGAACAAAGTCCCCCATCACAGAACAGCCTGAGTTGTATACAGAGCTGCCTGTGTTTGACCCTATGTTCTCCCTTCCCATTTTTTTTCTTGACCCTTCAACCTTAGGGGTCTTGTCTAAAGTATAGCCCTAATTCAGGCTCGAGATAAAAAATCCAGGGGGAGGCACTGGTGTGTCTCGACTCAGGCTTTCCTATGGTGGCCATAGGTGAACGTGGGTGGACTAGACCAGACGTTAGCTATTAGGCCTTGATTACTATTTTTTGGTCTGAAGATAATAATTTTGGGTGTTATATGCATCTGTGCTGTGATCCATCATAAAAATTATTTCTAAATTGCCACCTAGAGTGTACGTGCTGTCATGGTTGGAGAGGCCCCATGATTTTTTTGTTCTTGACCTAAGAACTCAGGAGAACGTGCTCCTTCCTTGGTCTGCTTTTATTTTCTCTTCACGTCTACATTTCTTTGTGTTCTGCTTCAGATTTGGCTCACCTTAATCCTATTTCAGAGGAATGAGATGGTACGTGGCCTTTGTTAATTAACTTTAGAATGTGGAAGTCTTGTATGGATCTTAATGCTTTCCTTTTTGTTGTTTCAGGACTGTGAGGGCGAGACTCCTATTCACAAGGCGGCTCGCTCTGGGAGCCTGGACTGCATTAGTGCCCTGGTGGCTAACGGGGCTCATGCCGAGTAAGCATCTTCATTTATTCTTGCCAACCAAAGATGTGGTCAAGGGTGTCGTGTTTAGAGACAGGATTTAGAGCAAGCAAAAGTTCTGAGCTTTGTTTTCAATATTGGTAATAGAGTTTTGCTTTTTAGATCAGTTGGCGTTAGTGAGCAAGTTGTTGTGTGAGTTGAGTTGACCACTAGCAGAAGGGGCTGAATCCCAGCAGCCTCAGCGTTCTTGCCGTGAGAGAGAGAGAGCATATTAGGGTAGAAGGAACAGTTAACTCATTAAATTTGGAGCCTGGCATTGTTGACTTTACCATTGACTAATTGTGTCACTGTGGGCAAGTCTTCAAACTTTGCCAAGTTTTAATTTCAGAATGAGTGCCTCGAATTGGATTAGAATATCTTTTCAGGCCTCTCTGGCTCAAAAAAATTCTTGCAGACAGTTAGCTTTTCTTAATTTTGCTAAAAAGATGGTTTCCTCATCTTTTAGCAGATATGAGAACATCTTATGTTTTAAAACCTGTTATGATTGTTCAGTGATTTTATAATTCCTTGTAAAATGGAACTGTACACATTAAAGACTTAAAAACTCACTCTGAGTTTTTGATACTGATGGCATTATTTTAGAATATCCTTGTTTTAGCCCAGTTTACATCAACTGGCTAATTTCTAGCTTGAGAGGACAGTATTAACATTTAAGTGTATTAATTTTAAAATGTGATCTTGTATGCAAATCATTAGCTAGCCATGGCATTATACGTTTATTTCAGTATTTAATTCATTTGTATTAACTTTCTCTTAAAGATTCATTGTAAAAATTTTTCTTCTGCAGTTCACAGCATTAACAAAATGGATGCGGTTTTCACCCTTAAATATTGAGTGTAAGCTATAGAGCTGTAATAACCAAAATAACTATGATAATATCAGCTTTTTTGTTTTACCTTGAGTGTCTTGAATATTTTATAAAAATTAATTACAAACCACTTTATTCTAATTGGAAATAAGAAAATTTAGACTTTGGGAGAAATAAAACCCACAGAACTGACTTAGTTTAACCCTTTGGTTTCCACTTCATTGTTTTGACTCTGTATTATAATAAATATTGAAAACAGATCCTGGACAGCAGAACCATATAGGTTAATGAAAGGCCTGTCTGATACCAAGGGCTATCAGTAGGCTTTTAGTATCTTAGCTTCTGTTTCATTAAGTATTATTGTTAAGATTAGACATTAGTTTGGGCTTGGATCATTTACTTATGTAGCCATTTAGTGTTATAAATATGACCTGTGTTAACTGTTACATTGCAGGGAACCTTGTGAGTTCATATGTAGTTATAATTTAAGGTAACGTAAAAACAATTGATAATATGAATATATATTACACAGTTTAGAAAACATCAAGATGATTCTCATTGCATTGCTTTAAAGCAACGTTGTAGATGCAGTTTTCTTAGCTGTTTTTTAGATTTAAAGCTTAAATCTTTAATTTTAACAACAGAAGCTTTGATTATAAAATACAGAGTCGTAAAATAATTGATTAAATTCCTTAATTGTCATTTATTGAAATAATGAATAATTAGAAGTTGATCTTTTCAGTGACTTATCTTTCTAAACAGTACTCTAATTGGTCCTGAGCATTTTATTACTAAGATGTTAGTTTTATTCACTTTAATGGATAGTTTAATCCTTTGAACCAATAAATATCTTTCTTGCGCTATGTCCTTTTTTTAATAGGTGTCTTTTTAAAATGAGATCATTTTATTTACAATTCTGTCCTTGTTACAGGACCCTCGAGTGTCTCTTTCCCACCAAGTGTGACTGAGCATGGCCTCGAGTGCCAGTTTGTTTTTCCTTCTCAGTATAAGAGCCACTCCCTCAAGACCCTGCATATGGTGATTTCCCTTGACTGAACTTTCAGATATTTTTTAGAAGAAATATTTAGCCTGAGCCACCTAGCCAAAAGCAATTTTTAAAATTATATGTCTTTGGCCTGGAGATAGAGCACAAGTAATCATTATTTATTGCTATTGTATATGTGGTTATTTAGTTTTAACATCTAGATAAAATGTCAGTTTCGCCAGTAAGCTAAATTGTACATTGCTTTTTAATATCTATTCTGCACATTTTTATAGTTTAACACTTTTAGTCTACCAACAAATAATAGTTTGATTCCCCCAAATTATGGTACTTAGAGCTCTTTTATTTGTTTCCTGTTATGTTGCTCATATGGTAAAGTGTAGTCCTAGCAAATAAAAACGCCTTTTTCTTTTAAGGTCATCAAGGGGCCCAGAATTAATTTACTTACTTGAAGTTAACTTATTTTGTTCCCAGTTCAAAGTGAGCCAGATTATTAATTTTAATATTACATGCTATAGTGTTTGGGAATTGGTGGAAATTTTTCCTTTTTCCGTGACCAGATTAAAAGCTGTCTTGTATCAGTATTTTATCACACTTGGTGGTAATTAATAATTTTGTTGTTAATTCCTACTTTGCTTTTTATATATTTGCTACGTAAAGTGGCCAAAATCTGAAGTTGCTGCTTTTTTGGTCATGGGGTAGATAATGGTGAGGGCAAGCGTACCAGGCATCTGTGGCTAGAACGGTTTGTTACATAACCTACTTGTCAATGTAGGCTGCATCTGTAAGATAACGCATGTCAGCTGCTGTGCATCGTAGCACATTTTCTAGCACCACACGTGAGTATGTTGATGGAGTTTCTTTTTCTTCTCTTGTTTTACATCTTGAGTTTTGGTGCCAAGTTTTCTTTTTCATGTGAGGTTTTGTTTCTCCTTATATGATTGTCATTGTTACTTGCCACTGTTTACATCTAAAAATAAAAACACACAGGATTAAGTGTCAGTTCTGTGACCAGACTGAACGCTTGTATACTTTAAATGATCTAAACCTCTACAGACGCTTCTCACTCTCATTTTTTTCTCAAGTAGGGAGTTTTTATTAAGTAAGTTAAACTGTCATCATCCTTAACTCTGCTTATATGGCAGTTCAGTTCTTCATTGCAGCCAGGATTTGAATGCCACTTGCTACACACAGAGGGTTTTTGATTGGAGGAAGGACATATAATAACATGGAAGAGTTGTTGCCTTATTTTTCTTTTGGATGATCAGATAAGTAACAATATAAAATTAAGTTTTAATGTGATTTCAGAGAAGGACTCTTGAAAATTTGCTGTCTGCTGATAATTAAGACCACCTTTTATGTGACCAATGAGGAGAAGCAAGAGAGCCTATTTGTGTTCCCACAGGCCAGCTGGGCACTGTTCTGTTCAGGTGACTGGGGGCTCTAGTCAGGCCAGTGGAAGATGAATGTAACCTGCATGGTGATTCAATCAGACATTTCCTCCCTGACTCCAAAAGATTGGGATCGATCCTGAATGTTTATGTGTTGCATTTATTTTTACAAAAGAAAAATTTATATATATATCAATAAATTTTTTAAAAAAGACCTTTTACAAACAACTTTGTAAAGTACACATTTCTAGCCTTGAATTATCTTGCCTTTTAGTATTTTGGCACTGACTGATTTTGGTTATTTTTGTCTTTATTTTCTTGAGAGATGTAGTAGAGAATGTTTCCATATCAACCAGATATAAAAGTAGATTTTTTTTTTTAATGCCTCAGAGTAGAAATAAAGGGATTTAGTGGGATTTAGAGATTCAGAATTGCTTGCATCTAAGGCCAATTTGCTAGTCCATTTTAATACCACATTATACCAGGTGCCAGTGTTTAATTATGTTGTGGCAAAGTCCCATAGCTTTTTTGTAGGAGAGCATTTCTGTAGAAGCCATTGATTCTGTGATAACCAGATCTTCCAGTGGGTTACATATATTTTAACTTAATTATTTTCATCCCAAGAGGAGCTTAACTATGAGCATCAGATAGCTAGAGAAGCATCTGTAACCTTATATATAAGCAAGTCCAGTGATTCACTCTGAAAAAATCTTTCTTGCCTAATTTAGAAAATAGACACAGTTGGCTTTAGTAACAGAAGTCTTAAAATGTGGTCATAATAGACTTTTGAATGTTGCAGGAAAAAGTATTTTGCTGAACTTTTAAAAATTCTTAATTGAAATGGAGTTGGTTTAGTTTGGTCCATGTTTATGACCCACCTTTATTTGCTTACCCGTAGAGCTCTGTCTAGAAGCAAAATTTTCATTAGGGCAAATCATGTGATGAGCATATGTAATATGAGTGTCGGAAGTTGTTTTGCAGCTTTTGCCCTCGGCAAACTTCATTAGACATTTATTCATGTTTGAAGTTTGTGGTTTCTTTTCATTTGTTCACCTATTTGCCCTTCAGAATAATAGTCCAACCATGAAATTTATTAGCAGTGTAACTCTGAATTAGTGGTTTCTGATCTTGGATCCTGTGCATTCCAGTCCTGACCTAGTGTTCCCTCCCTGACCTACTTGTCACTACAGCAGTCTTGTCTGATCTTGCAATTTCCTGGCTCATTTTTCCTTTTATTAAACTGTTGCAGGCAAGGTGGAGGAATTACTTCCCGAGATAGCTGATGAAGTTCTGCCTGCTGGAAAGGAGCAGATAGATAGCAGGCTGACAGTATTCTAGAGTTGTTGACAAATTCAGTTTAGAATTTTGATTGTTTTTCATAACAGCTTGAATAATATATAGGTTTTAATATTTGTTTAAGCACTGCTTTTATATAGTGCTTTCAAGTAAAACCAGTGATTTCTAGATTCAAATGTCTTTTCCTTTGCCTAAATTATAGTGGGAGCAGGTTAAATATTTCATCAGACTCTTTGAATGATGCTGTTGTATTTTAATGTATGCAAACATAGCTGGGGTTCAGTTGCAACATAAAACTGTCCTCAGTAATGTTGAACTTGAACTGAAAACTTGGCACCAAATTTATTCAAGTAGAAACTTTAAAAAATAGTTTCTTCCTATTGTTACCTGAAGAATATATTTAATAAAGTCTTCATAATTACGTATTTAAGAGTTTGGATACCAAAGGGTTAAAAATACACGTTTTCCTTTTACT